CGCCGTCTACGGACGCCCCCATGACGGGCCCAGCCTCTCGCCGAGCTCACTGCGTGTGAGCCTCGGCTCCGGGATGAGGATGAGGAGGAGGAGGAGGAGGAGGGAGGAGGTGGAGGAGGAACAGGGGAGAAGGTGGAGGAGGACGAGGAGGACGAGAAGGAGGAGGAGGAGAAGGAGAGGGAGGAGGAGGAGAAGGATGAGATGATGATGATGATGATGATGATGATGATGATGATGATGATGATGATGATGATGATGATGATGAGGAGGAGGAGGAGGAGGAGGAGGAGGAGGAGGAGGAGGAGGAGGAGGAGGAGGCGGGGGGAGGGGGAGGGGGAGGAGGAGGAGGAGGAGGGGAGGAGGAGGAGGAGGAGGAGGAGGAGGAGGAGGAGGAGGAGGAGGAGGAGGAGGAGGGGAGGAGGAGGAGGAGGAGGAGGAGGAGGAGGAGGAGGAGGAGGAGGAGGAGGAGGAGGAGGGGAAGCGGTGGAGGAGGTGGAGGTGGAGGGCGAGAGGAAGGGGAAAAGAAGAGGACTAAGAGGAGTGAGAGGAGGAGGAGGGGAGGAGGAGGAGGAGGGAGGAAAGGAGGAGGAGGAAGAGGAGGAGGAGGGAGAAGAAGCGGTGGAGGAGGACTCAGAGGAGTGAGAGGAGGAGGAGGAGCAGGAGGAGGAGGAGGAGGAGGAGGGTGAAGATGAGAGGGGGGAGGAAGATGGGGAGGGAGGGGGGAGGAAACAGGAGGGGCGAACAAGCGGAACTGCGGGACAACCGCGGGCCGAGATCCCCCAAGCTGGAGGAGAGTCGTCAGCTCCGACCTCGCCCGATCGACGGCGGAACCACTCCTCTCGCCAGCGCGCGCAGCGTCGCCTCGCCAGCGCGCACGGCACGAACCCGACACCCGAGCCGATCTCCGAGTCCAAGTGGAAGACTCAGACTCATCGGGGGGAGGACCACCCCTGTGGACGGTGGCACGCCGGGACGTGCCACCGCTCCGGGGCTGGCCCCCCCCCACCCTTGCATTGGGTCCCCGGTGCCGATGGCTTCTTCTCCCGACGGGGAGGGGGAGGAGGGAAGGGCAGAGCGCGGCCGGCGAGGAGGGAGCCGAGAGGCGCAGGCTGCGCGGCGACCGCCCCCCCCCCACGCCCCCCGGGCACTCCTGCTCGCTGCGCACACCACCCTTCCCATCTGCCCACTCGGGGCGTGGAGGCGGCCCTGCCCCGCACAGCGGCTGGAAAGCCGGGGGGGGGCGGTGAATCGGCGCACTCCTGCATGGGCCGCGCCACCGCTGACAAGGAGAGGGCGCACGCGGACACCGGAGCCACTCGGCTCTCCGGGGACGCAGCGCGGGATGGGGGAGTGCAAGAGGGAGGAGACAGGGGAATGGGGCCCTCAAATCCTGGCGCTGCAGTCTTTTCGAGCCGGGCGTTTCCGCCTCTGTTCGAGCCCGGAGACCCTCGCAGATCGATCCGGCTCGAAAAATGGCCCAGAAAGGCCGGATCTGGGACTCCAGGCGTGATTTTTCACGACGTTGAATTTTTTTCGCAACGTCGGATCTCAGGGGAGGCCACGGGAAGAAGGAGACACGAGAGGCAGGTGGGAGGAGGGGGAGAAGAATGAGGGACTGGGCCCTGAGGCGGGACAGGACGGCCTCAAGAAGGCACCATACGCCCAAGGCAGAGCCCAAGAGAGCCCACAAACTGCCGAAGGGGGGGGGCAAAGAGAGGGCCTTTTTGAGGGCCTAAAGAGACCTCCAAGGCTGCCCCAACTGAAGAACGCTCTTAACGAACGAACGCCAGAGTCGGGCGAGCTCCGCGAGGGAGCTTGCCCGTGCCCATTGCCTCAATCATGTAGAACGTACGCAGATTCCTCTGAAAGCCAGCACTCGCTGCTCCGTGACGCCAAACTAAACAACGGCTTCAAGAGATCACTACAATTGGGTGGGGCGTGTCCTCCTACAGGCGGGTTTTGGAAGACAAATGACAAATAGCCAAACGACTATCAAAAGCCAAGATACGTAGTAGAAGAGAGAACCAAACTATGATTTGACTACTTTCGAACACTCCTCCTGCAGAGGGACATGCACAGCACAATCCTGAAACAGCTCAAACAGGGTCGCGCAACTGAGCCAACGATGCCCGAGCACGAGCCCACGGGGGCGGGCCCACGAGGCGCCGCGCCCAAAGTACCCAAGAGGCGCCCGCGGTGCAAGCCTCGGGGGGGGCGGCGGTGGCTCGCCGGAGGCGTTTTTTCGAGACTGCACCGTGGCGGAGAGCCCTGCGGCAAGGGGCGGGAGCAGGACGCGAGCACGGGCCAGGCCGCACTGCGGGGACGAGGGGGGCGGGAGATGGGTGCAGCACTCGAGGGGCTCCGCCTCAGGGGACGGCGGCGACTCGCCGGGGGGCGGCTTCGAGCATGCACTGCTGGGGAAATCCAAACCGAAGAGGATAGGGACAAGAAGCAAACACGGGTCAGGCCACACCTCGGTGACAAAGAGAATGGGAAATGGATGCAGCTCTCGAGGGGCAATTATCGTTGCATCGAGTTCGCTATCTATTTGACGATCTCGACATCTATCTGTCGATATCTTCATCCGTCAATCATGCTGTCTTTCGATTGGTCAAGCTATTAAACTACAGGCCTGTCAACCTCACAACCTGTCGGCCTCATTGTTCAAATATTTGTCTCTGCTCGTTCAGACCACATGCGAAAGTTCAGCCGCCAGCTGGAGTGGCGCCTTGGGTCACTCGATCGCTTGTGGGTCAAGATACTCTGCAAGAAAAAAGCGAAGCAGTCATCAACTGAGGCTACCCGAGATGCAAATGATTAAATGGCCCGAACTGCCGCTCGAACTTTTTCCGTTTTCGGCACGCGAGCCGCAGCCAGGAGGAGGCACGACGGAGAAAAGGGAAGAACGAGAGGAACGAGATAGGAGAAGGACGAGGGGGAGCATGACGAGCACAGTGCGCGTCCTCGAGCTGCCAAACCAGCGAGGCTCAGCCATCCGCACGCATGGGGCGTCTAATGGACAACTCACACGTGTGGTCTGCATCCCTTGAAACCCTTCTAATGATCCGCGGTCAAGCCCGTGACCGGCCCGCCCCGCCACGCCCCCTCCTCCTGGCCACGTCACGACTCGCGCCCGCGCCATGGCAAATCGTAATTCCTCGGCCTCCCCATACGGTGCTGTCGCGAATTGTGACGTGACAAGCCCCCTTCCCCCCCCCCCCGGTCACGCCTGCTATCGCCCAAAAAGGTCTCTCACGGTGAGAGCATCGGATAAGGAACCGTTGGACAACGAAAACAGGGTCTGGAAGCCATTGTAACTCCAATCGTGGGTTGGCCATGGAAATCACAGCCGCCCTCATCAGATAAGAGCTCCTCCAGGGGACTGTGACAATGATGATGACGATGACGACTATTATGATGAAAACGAGGATGGTGATGATGATGATGATGATGACGATGATGATGATGATGATGGTGATGGTGATAGTCATGGCGGTGATGGTGGTAATGCTCATGACGATTACGATGACGATAACGGCGACGACGGCGATGATGATGACGACGATGATGATGCTGATGTTGATGATGCTGATGATCCTGATGATAATGATCATGTTGGTGATGGTGATGATGATGACGATGATGATGATGACGGTAGTAACAATGATGATAATGAACATGATGATGACGATGACCATGACGATGACGGCGATGATAATGACAACGAAGACGAGGACGACGGTGATGATCATGATGATGATAAGGATGCTGACGATGCTGATAATGACGATGATGATGATTACGATGACGATTACGACGACGATGATGATGATAGTGATGACAATCACGATGACGACGAAGGACAACGATAATGATGATGATGATGATGATGATGATGATGATGATGATGATGATGATGATGCTGACGATGGCAATTACGATGACCATGATAATGGTAACGATGATGGTGATGATGATGATGATGGGGATGACGATGGCGGCGAGGACGACAATGATGGTGATGATGATGGTGGTGATGACGATGCTGACGATGACGATAACGACGACGACGATGACGATGATGACGATGTTGCTGACGATTATGATGACGATGACGAAGACGACGACGATGACGATGATGATGATGATGATGGTGATCATGAAGACGATGATGACGATGATGATGATGATGATGCCGCTCATATTGAGGATGATGACGATGACGATTACGATGATGTTGATGATGCTGATGCTGATGCGGATGATGATGACAATGACGTTGACGATGACCACGATGGCGATGATGATGGCGATGGTGATGATGGTGCTGATGATGGCGATGATGATGATGATGATGATTGTGATGATGATGATGATGATGATGTTGATGAAGATGATCACGATGATAAATGATGATGACGACGAAGAAGATGCTAAAGCCGATGATGCAAAGGTGCTAATGATGCTGATAACGACGATGATGAGGATGATGCCGACGATGATGACGATGATGACCATGATGATGATGATGATGATGATGATGAAGATGAAGATGATGATGATGATGTAATTGATGGAGATGATACTAATGCTGACGATGACGATGACGGCGGTCATGATAATGATGACGATGATGATGATGACGATGATGATGACAATGCTGCTGATGATGATGATGGCGACGACTACGACGAAGACGACGACGATGATGATGTTGTTGATGTTGTTGATGATGATGATGAGTGATGATGATGATGATGATGATGATGATGATGATGATGATGATGATGATGATGATGATGATGGTGACGACTACGACGACGACGACGATGATGATGCTGATGCTGATGATGATGCTGATGCTGATGATGATGATGATGATGATGATGATGATGAGTGATGATGATGCTGATGATGATGATGATGATGATGATGATGATGATGATGATGATGATACTGATGATGATGATGATGCTGATCATGATAATGTTGGTACTGATGATGCAGATGATGACGATGCTGCTGATGGGGCAGCGCGACCTCCTGCCGGAGCTCCACTCCAGGGGCCGCCGACCGCGCCGCCCCGCTCTCAGAATTCTGTCGGCGGCCGGCCGCGGGGGCCTGGCCTTCTCCGCAGGCTCGGAAGTCCTCCGGCCGTCGGAGAACTGGTCGGAGCCATCCCCGAAGGCAGAGAAGCCTCCTCTCAGAACAGAGGCCTACTGGAATGGGCTCGGGCTCGGGCTGAGGCTCGGGCGCCACCCAGATGTGGAGCTGCCCACAGGTGGAGACATCCGAACTCTGCCCCCGCCAACCGCGGCTCCCTCCGAATCGAGAGGCGGCGGGGGCCGGGCCCGGAGCTCGCCGCGTGCTCGAGGCATCCCGAACCCTCCCCCCACCGCCCATCGAGCTCCCCGAGTCTGGAGGCCTCGTAATCAGATTGGGTCGGAGTGGATGGGGTCGGAGGGCCGTGCCGCATCGCCGATGCATCGCCGATGCATCGTCGACGTGGGCGGTGCATCGGCGACGTCGACGTGAAGCACATCGGGCTCCACATCGAGCCGCATCGGCGATGCATCGGCGGTGCGGCGCGGTCCTCCGACGCCACCTGCTCCGACCCCACCCAGGAGGCCTGGACAGAAGGCCAGGGGCCCTCTGGGAGGCCCCGCCGCCCTCCGAGGGGGCCTCCTCCTCCTCGCCTCCCCCCCCCCGGCGCCCGCCGCCGATGCCTGCTGCAGGCGCGACTGGGGGGGGGCGGGGCCCGGGCACGGCGGCGGGCCCAGCCCAGCGCCGTGGGCAGGGAGCAGACACGGGACCCGTGCCCCGCCTCCTCCTCGTCCTCCTCCTTCTCCTCCTGCTCTTCCTCCTCCTCCTCCTCCTCCTCCCCTCCTCCTCCCTCCTCCTTTCCCCTCCTCCTCCTCCTCCCTCCTCCTCCTCCTCTTCCTCCTCCTCCTCCTCGTCCTCCTCCTCCTCCTCCTCCGCACCCGTCTCGATCGCACCCGACACGGTTCCCCCCCGCCTCTGCTCCTCGGGGCCGGGGTCGGGTGGGGCGTGTCCTCCCACGGGCGGATCTTGGGCGAAAGATGGGAAAGAGTCAACCGATCTTCGAAAACAGTCATCGACGAGTCCGTCGGCCCCCTGGCGGGGCCATCGGGCGGCGAGGCTCCAGCTTGCTGCTCCCTGCGTCAGCTCCAGTTTCCAGATTCCAATGTTACAATTGCTGTTTCTGCTTCCTACTGTACATTGTTACTGTCCGCGCGAGAGGGGGGGGGAGCCGAAAACCAGCTCGGTTAGGGCCCCCAAATCGCGTTGTCTGAATTTCTGGGGGGCACTGGGACACGTCGAAATACATAAGATTTGCGTTCCCGACGCAAAGATCCCTCGTACATTACATTGTATTCGGGCTCCCGAAGCCGCGATCCCTTAGAACATACTAAATACTCACGCTCCCGAGGCCACGACCCTCTAATAAATTGCACCACGTTCTCGCCTCCGGGGCCACGATCCCCCGTAAATTACGCCGCAGTCGCGTCCCCGAGGCTATGATGCCCGGGGCTGGGGTTAGGTCGGGCATGTGCTCCCACAGGCGGAATTGGGACGAAGAATGGACAAGAGTCACCACATATTCACAAATAGTCACAACAACAACAACAACAACAACAACAACAACAACAACAACAACAACAAAAACAATAATAAAAATAATAATAAGCATAAGTTTAAGAGTGTTCGCCCTTCTATGCTCGAGTGTCCAATAACGCGGATTTCCCAAACCCTCGATACCCGCCCTCTTCGTCTTCGATCAAACCGCTTTTGGGGGGTATACCATTCTTCCTTGCAGGCCGGGCCCGGGCAAGCGGCGGGGCGGCCGCGGACCGTCGGCCTGGCCAGCGGCAGCGCTGATCGGCGGGGCGGCCGCGGACCGTCGACCCGACCCCAAGAGGGACGGACAGGGGACCGACCACGACGACGACGACGACGACGACGACGACGACGTCGAAGACGACGGCGACGACGACGACGACGACGACGGCGACGACGAGCGAAAGCGAGATCGAGAGAGAACGACAGCAGGGCCACGAAGGGCGACAGCGGGGACACGAAGGGAATGCGTATGGGGCCACGAAGAGCGCGAACTAGCGGGGGCCACGAAGTGCAGATAATGCGGGGCCACAGAAGACAACTATGGAGCCACTGAGGGTAGCAACTGGGCCACGTACGACAGTGAGGGGGACACAAATGGCGACAGCGGGGCCACGAAGGGCATGCACATGGGGCCACAACGAGCGCGACTCCTGGGTACCTGGGTGTCCGGAGCGCGGCGCTTGGGCAAATTGCAAGAAATTCCAACGCAATGCTATTCTTCAGTAAGTTGCAAGCAAATCTCCAGCGAGAGCGCGATTCCAGAGCGCCGAGAAACCGATTCCTATACAAACTGTAAGGAAGTCCCAAGCGAGAGCGCGATTCCTGAATAAAAAGCGAGGAAGTCTCGGGCGGGAGCGGGGGTCCTGTTAAATTGTAAGGACGTCTCAAGCGGGAGCCGTTGTTGCTGTAACCGGGGGGCCAGGGGCCCAGTTTGAGCAGGGAGACTTTGCCTGTCAAAAAACAGGGTGCGCGCGTCGAGGGGCACACTTTGATTGAGAAAAAACAGTATGCACCGGTGGGGGGGGGGATCAACAATAATTATTCTTCAGAAATGAGAACTCCACAGCAGCAACAACAACATCAACAACAACAGCAACAATTACTAGCACGTGGGGACACTCCGTTCTCACCAGTGCCAGGGTTTTCATAGGAGGCGGGCAATACCCCCACTTTGTGGGGGGGCCGGTTCAAGCTCTACCAAATTTCCAAACGACTCTTCGCCACCACCCACACCCAGCTTCCCGCCCTATGACGTTCGGACACTTCACTTCGTGGCATGCGGACGACCGTGGCTACTATTCAGGGCCCCGCGGCCGACGACGACGGCGTGCGCGCGCGAAGAAAAAACGAATGTGTCCCGCATGGTATTATTTGACAGGGATGATGGCCCTGGCAGGTGCGCAACCGTTGTTGCAGAAGTTCGAAAAAGTTGCTCGCAAAAGCCCGTTTGACAGAAATGTTTAAAAAGTGTTGGGTTTCCTACGAATCCGCAAGAGCGCGCGGGATGAGATTTTGACATTTTTTTGTTGAAAAACCATTGGTTTTTTGATGTTTTATGTTAAAATCGCTCCGAACACTAAGGTTTTGGAAGGATTTCGTCTTGCGCGCGCGAATGTCCACTTTACCTTATTTTTTGCAAGGGATTCTTGAAGTTTGGTTATGTTAGAACAAGAAATGTCCACTTTAGTTATTTTTTGCAAGGGAAACGGGGGACAACAAAACAACCGGATCCGGACTCCCCCGTTTTGCCTGAGACTTCCTCACGAAAATGATGAAAATGTGGCTGCGGCCTAGGCGCGGCGAGGGGGGCGTGCACCAGGGGGCCCAACAATAATTATTCTTTAGAAGTAATAATATTCAACAACAACAACAACAGCAACCGCAACAACAACAACAACAACAACCACAACCACAACCACAACCACAACCACAACCACAACCACAACCACAACAACAACAACAACAACAACATGATCGACCCACGAACTTGGAAAGGAATATAGAAATGTAACGCATGGCAACGTTTTCGAAGACACCTGATTGGGTGACGGGCAAATGCAATGCTGAATGTATCGATCTTGATGTACTGTGCCGAAGGCTGTGCTGTACTGCACCGTGCTGAATTGCTATGTGCCATGCCGCGATTGTGCTCTATAGCGTCGTGGATCGAGTCCTCCTTTGCATCCGAGTCCTGACCGAGCTGATCTGGATCTGAAGCTCGAGTTGCCTGAACACACAGTAGCTGCCCCAGAGCTACTTGACAGGGGGGCATGCCAGGAGGACGCGCCGCGGAACGTCCCAAGGGACGCGCCAGGCGACGTGCCAGGGGACGTGCCACGGGGTCGCACCGCGGGACGTGCCAAGGGGACGCGCTACGGAGCGTGCCAATGGATGTGCCACGGGATGTGCGAGGGGACGCGCCACGCGACGTGCCAGGGGGACTCGCCAAGGGACGCCCCACGGAACGTGCCAAGGAACGTGCCAGGTTGCAATGCTGAGTGTATCGATCTTGATGTACCGTGCCGAAGTCTGTGCTGTGCTGCGCCGAGCTGAATTGCGATGTGCAATGCCGCGATTGTGCTCTATAGCGTTTTGGATCGAGTCCTCCTGTGCATCCGAGTCCTGACCGAACTGATCTGGATCTTGAGCTCGAGCTCCCTGAACACATAGTAGCTGCCCCAAAGCTGATTGACAAGGGGACATGCCAGGAGGACGCGCCGCAGAACGTCTCAAGGGACGCGCCAAGCGACGTGCCAGGGGACGTGCCATGGCGGGACGTGCCAAGGGGACGCGTGACGGAACGCGCTGGGGACAAGAGTTTCGCTCGAGACATCCTGTCAATATCCTCATGCTAGACATCCGCCTGAGCGACCTGGACACGTGAAAACGAGGGTTTCGCTCAACACATCCTCAACACATTCTCATGCTAGATATCCGCCTGGGCGAACTGGACACGTGAAAACAGGTAGTTCGCTCGAGACATCCTCAACACATCTTCATGTGAGACGTCCGCCTGGGTGACCTGGGCACGCGAAAACAAGCATTTCGCTCGAGACGTTTTCAACACCTCCTCATTCTAGACATCCGCCTGGGCGACCTCTACACGTGAAAGCAAACGTCTCGCTCGAGACATCCTCAACACATCTTCATGTTAGACATCCGCCTGGGCAACCTGGACACGTGAAAACAAGCGAATATCTCGAGACATTCTCAACGCATCCTCATGCTAGGTATCCGCCAGGGCAACCTGGACACGTGCAAACAAGCATCTCGATCAAGACTTCCGCAACACATCCTCATGCTAGACATCCGCCTGGGCGACGAGGACGCGTGAAACCAAGCGTCTCGCTCGAGACATCCTCAACAAATCCTGGCGCTAGACCTCTGCCTGGGCAACCTCGAGGCGTGAAACCAAGCGTCTCGCTCGAGACACCCTGAAGACATGGGCACGTGAAAACAAGCATTTCACTTGAGAGGTCCGCTGAATTCTGGCCCCCAGGAGAGGACAATATATAACACAAAACAAGCGTTTCGCTGGAGACATCCTCAACACATTCTGAACAACAAGCGTTTCGCCTGAGAGCTCCTGAAAATGATTCCGCCGGCCTCCTTCAAGCTCGTCCTTTATCCAAAAACAATTCCGCCGGCCTCCTTCTCAAGTCGACACAGGGGGTAAACCTCTAAAAGATAGCCCTGGGCCCCCGCCCTTTCCGGGAACATCGTCCCCAGATGATGTTTTGACTATGTTTGATTACTCCTCCTGCA